GGGGCGGCGGGGGCTGGCTGTCTCCTGCCGGGCGACGCCTGGAGACCTCCTAGTGCGGGGCGTCTTGTCTGCAGCCGTTGTGGTTACGGGGAGGAAGGGTCGTCACCTCGGAGCCGCCGCGTGCTTGCGGTAGGACGGGCTTTGCTCCCTGCGTACGGTTGGGTTTGTCGGTACGGGAAGGCTTGACTGGTATAATTAGACATGCTGCCCGCATGTGGGATTTCGACGGGTCACTGTTCCGATACAGCCATTCAAGTGGTTCTTTTTTCTCTGAACAGAGGGGAAAAAAATCAGTAACTCTAGCTGTTAATGTTCTGCTATTTTAAATGAAAGGCTACATAACGCTTCCCAAGTAGCAGTTAATCCTGTGTTTTCAGAGACCTGGGAAAGGTATTGTATGGGAAACTGGAAAAGTTAACTGCTGGAGTAAGTCAGGGTCTGATGTTAGAGCGTGAGTTTATGGGCAGTTCTGTAGTCACGGGTGTTGATAGCGAGGCACAGCTGCAACTTGTAGTTCTGGGGAAACTCTTATTTATGTGAAACTACTAATGTATTTCTAGGAGTACTAGTTTGAGCTATCCTAGTTATTTTCTGTTTTCATTATCGGGAGTTCTTGGCTTTTTTGACAGGCCATATTTTTGGAAACTCGCATATTTGGCAGCAGTATCAGTCGTACAATCAGAACATGCCTTCCTTCAGCAATCTCATCAAGAAGGCATTTCCAGCAGTTATATACAGTCATAAGGAAGTATCGGGTCAAGGTACATTAAACTTATTTCACTTCTTTACCAATTTTTTTCCCCGAGACTTGTATAGATGCATATGGTTACTCAAATGTGCACTTTTTCTTTTGTCGGTAGCTCAGAATATTACTAGCTACATGATGTAGCTGCTACATTCTTTGTTGGTCTTTGTGCCACTCTAAAATATACTGAGTACAGGCTGTATCTTGGTGGTGTTTTGGAAACGGTCTGTTAAAACCAGTATAGCCCTCTTTGGACTTTCAGCTTGAGAACAGCATTGAAAAGTTAGGTTAACCTAACTGCGTTATATTTAATTACATATAACATTAAATAATTTAATTACTTTGATTGTAAGAACTGAGGGCTTTGATTTTTGCTTCTCAGATTAAAAGTTATTCTGATTTTTAGGTCATATCTGTTTGCCAAAAAAAGGAATATGGATCTACTCGAAGTGTTGTCCGTAGACTTGGGACAATTCTTTCCTTAGAACCCTACCCAAGACCTTATTTTCAAGTAAGTGATTTATGGTTATACATATGCTTCAACTATTTAAGCTTTCTGGTTTCTTAATGTAGTGATAGCTTTCCTGTTCTTCTTACCTTGCGTAACTCTTGTGTTGCATCCCTTATGCTCACTGTTTTCAACTTGCTTACAGCACTGTTTAAAAATTCCTTTTACTGAGGCAGAACTTCTGGTATGTGCTGAATCTGGTTTGTCTTCATACATTTTTTTTTTTTCTTGTTTGTTTGTTTTTAGCTTGTTCAAGACCCAAGTCCTTTCGGTTATGATGAACAAAGCACAGCTCCAGCTCCTGTAGCTCCATCACTTGCTGATGTCCTGTGGGTGGCAAATGATGAGGGACAAGCATTTACTAGACTTAGGTAAGCAAAAGTAGAATATATGCATAAAAAGGAGTAATAAAAGTAACTTTCGTCTTCTATAAAAGTAACTTACGTCTTCTCTTCTTTGTGGTGTGTCATTTTGTGTGGTTTGTTGTCCCGTGTCCCGTCCCCCCCGTCCCCCCCCCCAGCCCTTTCAGGCTTCCAGCTAAACCAACCCTGGAAAATTTTTGGGTTTTTAGGGGGGCAGTTCCTGCATACCTGGAATTCTTACTATGTAGAGTATTATTATCCAAAAGATTTCTGAAATTTGAGTCCCCTCTTTTCTCTTCCTAATAGCACGTCAGGTACATTACTGGTATTTTAATTTGTTTTCACTCACAAAGTACTTTGTGAGAGAGGGAGTTTAAGGGAAACTTGTGTATTGCAACATACAAGATGATTATTCTTATCTTTATCGTTTTAGTTTACAAGCATTTTGATAAACATTATAAAGGGAAAAACAAGAAAAAATATTTAAATGTCTTCTCTTGACGTCGATTACTACAGTGCTATGTGTGTAAACCTTGATGGTTGCTTTGATGGAAAAAAAAACGTAATTTCTTTATTTTAAAAATTTACCTTGAATATAGTTTATATAAGTCTTTCTAGCTTTTACAGAGTGCTAAAGGAAAATATTTTTACAATAATAAAATATTTTAAATACCGTGAAATGACAAATTATTCAGGAATGTGCAGACACAAATAGCATACAAGTCTCTTCTCCCTCCCCCCCATCTCCCACTAGAGAAGAAATAGAAATTTGGCTTACTGTTCCTCTAAAGAATCTGTTCAAAATCAGAGGATGAGTCAGAGCCAGAACCAAGATAAAAATTTGGACACTTGTATTGTCTTGTACTACATCTGTATCGGACAATGTAATTCTGCTTCATATTGGCATGTGTTTGTCTGTGATCTTTGTGCTGCTTGCTGGTAATGGTACAAGAAACTGATGAAATGACACGCTTTTTATTAGAGAATTTTGAGAGAAGTTTTGATAAAGCTGTGTTTCATCTTACGATTCCTGAGATGTTACTGTTGAATTATGGAAGTTTTTTTGCAGCAGCTGTAAATACTGGAAGAGTAAGAATATTGTTAAAAGGGACTGAGGCCTGTTTTGTCTTGTTTGTGCTGTTCTTTAGCCTGTCTGATTCACAGATCTGTGAAAGTTCATTCTTTTGTTGTTTTCATTCTTTGTTCCTCCTCCTCTCCTGGCTCTGTGGGATGTTTTTCAAGAACAAGTATTCTAATTGATATCTTTTCCTTCTGAGCCAGTGTGAAGAGCAAGGCTTTCTGGCAAATCAGAAAGCACTGCTGCAGGTCTGATTTGAAGTAAAAGGATGATGAATGTAAGGGAAAAGGTCTGGTTTTGTTTCAATCAAAACTTAGTACATCTTGAATAAATAAAGTAAATTTAATTTCTTTCTTTGTTTCATAATGAAATTCTGGTAGTTTGAGTTTACACTCGTTCTGTGTTTTAAGGTTATTTCTGCAGGTGCAGACTTGAAACAATTTTTAAAATTAAAACCTGAGACTTGTAGCACAATTTTCTAATTCAGTCTGTGTTCATATGTAGCTTACAGAAGATGAGGTTCTTGTTCTGTAAGTGTGTATTAAAATCCATTATTATTTTCCAATATATTTTCTGAAAGATTGCAACTTCTTTGCTGCTTGCAGTGTTCATCTTGCAGAGTTTGATAAATGACTAAAATGTGTGAAGCCTAATTAAGAGATCTCCCAGCCTTTCATATCTACTGTTTCAGGTAGGGAGGAGGGAGAGACACCTTTATGGTGTCAGTCTAATAGTTATTGAATAATAACAGCTCAATCCTACATTATGACCTTATGATGTATAATCTGTCCCTGAGTAAATTATCTGACTATTTTTTATGATGTGTTTTCAAGGATCTGCATTGTACTTAAGCAAAGGGAGACTTAAAATATTTTTAAGGTTATGAGTAGTTAAAAGTTTAAAGTTTTCATAAACAGTTTGCAAATTTATATCTTGCTGAATGACGATAACTTGCTTGAACTTGAATAAGTTTTGAGATGCCCATTGCTGGCTTAGCCTTTTGAAACCATGTCTTGTGTTGCTTTCTAGGACTGAATTACGGAGAAAAGAAAAAAGTACGGCTTGTCGTGACGTGACTTCATCTATAGATTCAATACAAAGTGTTCAAAAAAACAGTACAAAAAAAGACAATCTTGTTGATCAGGCAGCATTCCAGAAAATTTCTGCACTTGAAGATGAGCTAACCTTTCTTCGTGCTCAGATTGCTGCGATTGTTTCAGCGCAGACATTGGGAACCATTCCGCCACGTAAGTCCTTCTGGTTTGAAGCAAACCAGTTTTCCTTTCTTAGCTTTAGAGTTCCTGTTCACAGCTTGCCATGTCTGATATTGATAGAGAACATCTCTGATTTCTCTAACTGAAGTTACACCAACAAAATTTACAGAATATAGTATTTTGTTTCTCTTTTCAGTATTTGGCGCCACCTCCCCCCGCTTTTTGATGCCTGTTTGCCAATTTTGAATGCAGTTGCTCCTAACTGATCTTTATACTCATTTCCATGCTTGTGAAGGAGCTTAGTAACAACACTATCCATAGGCTACCAGTTACTGCTTAAAAAAGTTGCAGACGATTAATTATCCCTTTTGGGTTTTGTACTGTTTCTGACAAGTTATCAAAAGAATGGATTAAAAAAAGTATTCTAAGGAAGTCAGGTTCAGGCTTTAAGAAAAACAAATGCTGCCATAGATGTGTCTAACAGCCACTAGAGTATCAAAGATTGAAGTTCATATTGGAGACCAACTATCTTGTGATTTATTTTTTTTTTTTAACACCACCCCACCCCCACCACCCCCACCCCCCCAAAAAAAAAAAAGTTTTGACGTCTTGATTGTCTTACTTGCATTGTGATTGTTGAAACATTTGAACTGGTGTGGGGGAGTTACATTTGTGTGCGTTGTGTGCCAAGTGAACTTAAACAGTAGTTCAGGCACCTCTGTGGTTCATTAGGTGTTCTCTTGGCTCTTTTTTTGTCTCTTCTCCATTGCACTCAGTATTGTAGTCTGTTCTACATGTTTTATGGTTATCTTTGCTTTTGCTTCATGTGGGATATTCTAACGTTCAGGCCATTGAGAATGAACTGTATGTAGTAGCAGGCTGCTTTGCTGTTGCAGTGCTGCTTTGCTGATTTATCTAGTGCTTACATTGAAGAGACAAATGGAGAAAATCAGGGCAGCACAAGACACCTCAGATCCATTATTTCATGTGTTCTGAATCTGTGGCTTTGAAATAAAAAATGTTCTTTGTTTTAAATGTAATTCTTCTGTGGTATAATGTGTGAGGTGTGCAAGAAAGTGCTCTAAGAGGGCTGTCTTATCTTGACTTAAAACTGAGTCATCCTACATGTTGCTTAATATTGTTAATTGTGAACGTATACTGACTAAAAATAAGATCACTATTTTTCTTTTATAACTGCATCCAGAAGCCTTTAAAACATTCAGCACTCCAGATGGATTTTACCCAGTGCCAGCCATGACTTCTACGCCATTGCCCGTCTCTCAGAATCACTTTGTAATTCCCTCGCCTCCTCCACTTCCTTCTGGTGTACCATCTGGTGCTGATGCTAGTAATTCGGCAATTGAACTTATAAAACAACGTCGTGCTGCAAGAAACAGTGGTTCAGCTACAGCTGATAGTGCTGATCACCAGAGGACAAAGAACATTCCTAGTATGATGGATGTTTTGAAAGACCTAAACAAAGTTCAGTTGCGAGCTATTGAGAGGTAGGTTGAATTGAATGTGTATCCAAGTAATCCAAGACTATGTAAGCATCACAGCACTTAAGTAGCACCAGAGAACACCAGTGTGAAACATCACTTAATAAGCAGCTACTGCTGACAAACTTAAGTTGGCAACTTGTAAGTTCACAGCTTGGAATGTAAGATACTTGCGATATGGCTTTTAGATGCATTTAAAACATGCTGAATATCACAGCATTTAAAACTAGTTTCCTGCTTTAATATACAAATCTCAGGTTGGGGTGGGAAGGTGGGTGTGTTGCTATCTGGAGATCGCTTACAAAGTTGCCTACACAGTCCCAGGAAATTGATCTGAATGAATAAAATTTTTGGATTCACTGTGGAAGGACAAATTCTTGGGGAAACATTGGAAAGCTACTGTTAACATACCCGAAGTATTCTGGTCCTAGCTTTGAAGCGTTAAAGAAAATATATGCTGTATCTTTTATTGAAAATGTTTTGTAAATTTGTATTTCAATAGTGCAGTTGGATTATAAATACTTTTAATGGTCTACTGTTTTGATGCACAGTTGATGTCTTACAAAAATGCATTACTAAAGACTGCAAGATGTCTTTGGGTCAGTGTTGCTCTGCTGTGCTAGGTGTAATAGAGGTTGTCAGATGTCTTTTCTGAACTTTTTGAGTTGAAAAAGTATGTAAGAACAACTGAGTCTATAATGAATATTTGGAGCTCTTAATGTGTGAAGAATGTCACCAAAACTTAACTGCATTCTTATTTCAGCATTTTCTTAACTGTGAGCTTTATCCCTGAAAATAACTAGGACAAGTCTTGGGCAAATTATGCATATGCAACTCTAAAGCATATCTTTACCATTTTGATGACATTTTCATAGTAAATAAAGCAAATATAAAGTGCACTTAGGTAAACCTGTGTGTTTCCTTATGTATGTTTTCTTCCATATAACTCCATGTACGGTGAATGAAGAAAGTGAAATGTTCAGGTTAACAGTTTTAACAACCATCATGTTGAGCAGGGGCATAATTAGTAGGAAGCGGCAGGTGTGCATCTGAAATGCTTTCTGGATTTAGGCATCTACTTGTATTCTGAACTTAACTGAATAATGAACTTACATTGTTGGAGAGAGTAATGATGATCAAAATTGCTATAATCTTTCAGGTGGGAGTCTGACAGTAGTTTAATGTGTGCACTGTAAAGGGAAGACCTCTGTTCTCAGAAGTTGAGAGCCTGAAGATCCCAGTTTCTACTACCTGAGCACCAGCTTATACGTTGGGCAAGTGCTCTAACAGCTTGATTTTATAGGAAGGGTGGACTCGGTCCTTTCAGGTTTCACGTTAAATGACATCTACTGCTACTGCCAGACTTTGAGCTCAGTGCTGTCAGTATGCATTAATAGGTACAATTCATTGTCCTGGAGATAGCACTTTACCAGCAGAAGTGTGAATATATCTAGATGCCGCCACCCCCAAATATCTCGGTGGTTAGGAAGCCTTTCTTATGATTTATTTTCTTGGGCTAGTCACTAATTTCCACATTTCTGTTAGGTTTTGGGGTGCAGGTGCTGTTTTGATCTTAAGTCTCTGTGCCTGTCTCTTGATTTTGAATTTGATAACATTTTTTCTAAATTAAATTACAAACTACTTTTTAATTTTTGCCTATAAGATTTTCTTATTTGGATGCTCAGGTGCTCGCTTGGAGGGAAAAGCTGACTTTGAAGCCTTTGTGCCAAATCTGATGATGATTTTTTTTTTTTTTTAAATAATGAAACTTGAGTTCAAGTGTGGTTTATAAATGGGGCTTTATGGTCACCTGGCTGCGTATTTGACTTAAACAAAGTGGTTGTTTTCTTTAAATATAATTGCTCTGAGGAATTTTTTAAGTTTGCTCTTTCTCATGAGACCATAGAAAGGCATACTGTTCCGAACTTAAAATTAATGAAGTTTAAATCAAATTATGTTCACAATGGTTATGAAATGTTAGTGAGAGATTCCCACTAACATACCTTAATATAACTTATAAGCGAGACCTGCTATGAAAGCTGCACATTTTGCTTTTTTTCCTCGTTATTTGCAATACTTTTTAATTCTTTGTATTGATTTCCTGATATTTTTATTTATGGAACAGCATCAAGTTGTATTTTCAAGCTAAGAATCTGGCTGACAAGTTGTTGGGTGTACTTGTATTAGTCCTCTTTGGTGAATTGCTGTAAAATAACATTAGCAGCATTATTTGTGTAATCGGGGATTTACAGGATAAGGTGTATATGAAAGCGTGTCTCTAGATTTTGGATCACTCAGCACAGGATTTAAGGGCAGGAGACAATAATTTTCTTTTTTTTTGTAGGTCACCTGGAGGTACTCCTCTTTCTAGACCCAAAAAGAGGCAAAGTTCAGATTGGGATCCAGTTGCTCTACTAACTCATGCACTAAAGCAGAAATTTGCACATAAAAATGATGAAGATGATTCCCTGGACAAAGAAAATCGATCTTTTGATAGCTCCCCGTTTTCTAGTCCAGAGATCCCACTGGTATGTTTTTATATAAGAATGTGTTTTTATATTCTTGAAGTGACTGCTGTTTTCATGGATAGTTGCAGAGTTTTCATGAGTCTACAAATTCTCTACAATGTTTTTAAGTGATCAGCCTAGGTAGTTGCTTTTTTTCAAGTATAATCAAGGCAGAGAATCTCAAAGATTAAGTATTTTGGGTGGATTTAGACTGGTAGATACACTCCTAGATGCGCCAAGAGGAAAAACTTAGAAGACTGACTTTAAAAATTCAGCTCATAGTTGATTGAACTATGGACATTTGCTTGATGGTAACTGGCAGGTATCCATGCATAGAAACTAGTGACTGACTAATTTTACAAATAAAGATACTAGGAAGGTACAGAGAGGTCTGACTAACATGTGCTATGTGTTCAGAAATTAAAATGAAAGCATTGGCTGTAATACTTGCCTTTGAGGTAGCATCACTTCCACACAGTTTGCATCTTTATCTAGAATGAGACGTGATTCTGAATGCTGTTGCAAAGCCCATAAAAAATACAGGTTTTGGTATGAACAAGAAAAGTGGTAGACAGAGCCATCGGACTAAGGTGATTCTGAGCGCTGGTTTCTGTAGAGCAGCCTGTGCAAGCTACTTCAACTTACACAGTCTAGCAGTACTGTTGGTTATTTGTTAGAGACTTCCACAAACTTACTGCTTAGATGAGATGGATAGAAATGGGTGGCAGTAATTTAAGTTTCCTTGCTTAGCAATCTTTGTATCTTGAGTGAGATAAAGATTTGGACTGTGGCATTTGTTAGCCTAATGGAGGGAAATAATAATGCAAAACATATGGAAACCCAGACATTCTTTGAAGGCTGCCGCTTATATGCGTGGCTAGCTGCCTGGCTGAAAACTTAAGGAAAACTAAGGTGTGTGTTTCTATTTCCAGCTATAATGATTATTATTTTTTTTATTTCAGCTGCCACAAGGATTTTGCAAACAAAATGTAGCGTATATTTTACAGACTGTAGTGAGTCAATAGCTCTGGTGCAGTCTTAATAAAATTAGAAACTTCTTAAAAACAGCCAGACTTGTATTTTGGATGCTGCAGACCATTGCATTACATAGCTGACATACCTGATTCTAGACACACAGATCAAAGTTAGATCCTGGAACAGCTTGTTTACAGAATAGCTTTTGTTCCAGGATCTAACAGCTGAATTATAAAGTCGTGGAAGAGAGACTGCTTAAGGCCAGCATGTTCAGGAGTAGATACAGAAAGATGGGCTTTTTCTGGTTAAAGCAGAGTAATCTCATGAGCTTGTAATCAAGCCTCTAATTGTTTACCCTTGAGTGTTTTGAAGAATAAATGTACTTAAAGCAATTGCACAGGCTGTTTTATTCTTCCTACGTTAAGAGAAGCGCAACAACTCTTCCAAACTGTCTTTATTGTCAACATCTTCTCATTCAGTTGTCTTGGGTATAATTGTTTACTTCCAACCCTGCTCCCCAGGTTGGACGTTGCAGTCTGAAGCCAAATGCAAAATCTAGCCTTATAAGAAGTGATGAAGTTAAACAGGTATCGACATGGAAAGCGAGAGCACATATTTAACTGATGGAGACTTCTGAGGAAACTTCATAGTGTGTATAAGTGGCGGCTCCACTTTGAAACTGCTCTAAGGTGCTGTAATGTTTTCTAGAACATGTCTCTCCTGTGCTGTTGAAGTTTGGGTTGTAGGGTTTGTAAAATTGCCTCTTCCTTCTCCTTGGTTTCCCAGCAGCCAAACTTGTGAATGCAATGCACCAACCATAAAAAGGTTTTTATTGCTATGGAGCAGTGTGTTTGAAACTGGGAAATGCAGGAAATAAGTGTGTGTGAAAGAAAAATAATTATTGGTGTGGCAGCTGAGGTGTGCACTCTGTTTGCACTTCAGTGTAAATAATGAGGAAGTGTAAACTTTTTGTTAGTGTGTTCTATATAACTGACTATATAATTAATGGTAGCTAATACTGTTTCATTAGAATGGTATAGTTGCCTCAGTTTTCTTTGCAGCTTGCTTACGCAACTCCATATTCCATGTGCAAACAGTATTCTAACTTATTTTGGGTCAGTAGATAATCTTATGTTTGTGAAAATTTGTCGTGCTGTAAGTAAACTGCAGGTTTTCTGTAAAATGCCTATAATATGGGGGAGTTGTGTTCTGAGATAAAAAAGACCTTGTAGAGAGATCTGCTAGCACACAGTCTAAATTCCCTATGTAAATAAACATTAACTCCCTCCTTGGCTTCTCCATATGAAGTCTGTTTTGTTCACAAGAGTTTATAAAATAAAACTTTCTTTATATCATAGGTGTGTGGTAGTGGCATTTTGTGTTGCAGACTAACTTTTTTGTGTCCTAAGAGTTGTCCATGTTAGCTTCTTAAATTGTATTATCTAAAATGGATTAATTACCTAAAATGAATTAAAGGAGAGCTTACATCTGCCAGAGTACTTGTAGTCCCTTATTTACAAATTTATTACTGTCCACTGCTTACAATAGCTGCCTTCACTTAATCTTTTGTCTAATGAATCCTGATGTATAAAACAAAAATCCTATCAATTCAGCTGTGGACTGTGTCCCTTGTATATCCTGCATGTCTTCTATTTCCCTGCCTGCTTACACAGAGTAGACTGGCAGCTGGATTCTGTCTTACTGACGAGCCTTATTTGCACAGTTGTAAGAAATTACTGTGCAAATCCCATACTTCGGTTTTAATTTTAAAAGTTATTTTTTGACTAAAACTGGAGCTCCAGTGACTTGCTATTTTATGATTCTAAAATTATGTCTTCTAGATGTTTTTTTCTGAATTTAGTAATTATTGAACTTTATCACATTCTCCCATTCCTCTCTCAGTCCATAACAGTTCGACCTTCCCTTTCTTTCCACTTTCAAAATACACATTTGCTGCATTCTCTACCTAAACTTGACAACTGCTATGAAATCCATGCAGAATAGCCAGCTTGGCCCTCTACTTAGCAATCTTACCCTCTTCTGTCAAAGCTCCCCATTGTCTTTTGTCTGCTGCTCTGGTCTCCAATACACTAGGGAAGCAGGGAGCAACAGTGAAGGAAGTCCATGCAGTGCCTGCAAAAGAGGATATGTAGGCAGGTGAATCCTGGTGAGCATAAAGCCTATGAATCAGCTCCCTTTTGCTCAGTATCTGCAGTGTGACAAGGTGGAGCAAGTTATCTCCTGTGTTATATCAGCTTTCGCAGATCCAGGGGATCTCGGGGTTTGTGGCCATTCCATTGTGACTGATAAACGTGAAGGTGGAATTCTTGCTGTAAGAGTGAATTAATCTGCAAAGCCCTGAATACGGTAGTCCTCTCTCTCTTCGCCCCCCCCCCCACAGTTCAGGTGCTTTGTGACCACCAGTCTTCTCTTCAGGAAGAACTGTTGTTTTGGACTCCTTTTATGTGTTTTTTCTGTTCTCTCCAGAGTTCAGCATTTAACTACAAGTTTGGCCTACAAGAGCATTTTGCAGTGGGAATTTTGAATTTGAAAGTGTCTTTCCATTTTGGAAGGGAATTCTCTCAGAAATTTCTTAGTACCTCTTAAACCAAGGATCTAGTGTCAGACTTCAGAAGCATCTGCAAATTTTGGTGAGCTGTGTGACCCTTCAGGTTACTATCTCTGATTTTTGTGTCAGTCTGATGTGAATTGTGTGGTAATAGAGTTTGTAGAGCTGATGAGCTTCCTTAGGGAAAAGATTAAGTCATGCGTCATGTGAAAAGAGTAAGTCATGCCTCATGTGATTTTTTTTTTCAACTATGTACCACCTACACATGTTAAGAGAACAGATTCTTTGTTTTATGTAGTTCCAGATGTAAATTGGGTTAGGCATTGAGCCCTGGTATACCTTGAGAGGTCTGTGGGTGCCATCTGGTAACATCTGACAGTTTTCAATACTAAGAAGTTGCAAAACTTAAGACAGTGATGTTTAGTAATGAAAAGGTTAGCACCCATTGCAGAGATTTTTCTCCCTTTCGGAACTAATGGGAACGTGGCTTTGTCATCTTATTTTCTTTTACTAAAACATCTGTATCAACAGCTTGGAAGCAGCTTGAGGTTCTCTAGTTATCCATGCCCACCTAGAATCCATGCCCTGTTTACCTATGAATAACCTCGTTTACATGAGGTCCCTGACTGAACTGCTCAGTGACAATGCACCTCCTAGAGATGCGGTAGTGATATGGGGGAGGAGGAGGAGACTCAGGAACATGAGCGGATCTCTATTGGTCTGCTGGAACAATCTTGTGAAATGTTGTGCTGCCTTACTCTTGTCACTGAAGAAGTTTGGAAATTTTACTCTACCACTCCTGATGAATTTTTGGGCAGTATGTCTTCCTTCAGGAGTTGCTGGGGAGGTCTCTGGAATGAAAGTTGCTTTTGTTTTTCCACTAGAAAGACTAAGAAGTATGTATAGTATATCCACTTTTTTCAATTGATAAAATTGAAACAATTTTTCAAATATTTTGAGTAAATAGGGCTAGAAGGAAAAGTACAATGCAGTTGTTTAAAAGCACTCTTAAGGACTTTTCCCTAGGAGAATCTAAGAGATTTGAGCTCTCTTATCAGTGAGCTTTCCATTACAAGGAGACTAATATACGATTACCTGAACTGTCAGAACATCACTGTTTGCTGACAAACTCCTATAATATACCAGACCTGTCCAGGTACTAACTACTTGTGAGGGACAATTAATAGGTAATCTGTCATCTCTCTGTCTGGGGGGAAAGGCACTGCAGAGAATATGCAACAGTATTCACTGCCCTCAGTCTGTTCCTCTTTTCAGGAATTAATTACGTCCTTCTTTAGTCCTACCTAAACAGTGAAATTATATATATCAGGCTCTTGCAAAAGCCTAATTGACAAAGGGATCCTGCTAAACAAGTTAGCCTTTGAGTTACTGATCAGAAGCGTTGGGGAAAGTAAGTCCCGCAGGCAAGACTATTGAAGCAACTGATACCCCAACGTTAGTGAGGTCTGCAGCCAGCTTTCACTTCTGCTTTATCTGAAACCTGCTTTGTGTGATTGTAGGTATCCGGGAGACGTTCGTGATCCTGGTTCCTGTACCAGGTTCTCAGAACAGATCCCCATGTGATCTACCAATAGGTTTTGCATAGTGACACCGACTTCAGCTACATCTGTATTACCTTCCAGGCTTACCTGAATAATGTATGAGTTGTGTATGGTACTTCAGAGCGTTGTTGTTGCATGTCTGTGTGAAATTTGAATAGTTTGCAGATTCTATCCCACTGCTTAACATACTGCTGTGACTTGGCTAAAAGACACATAGAAAAAATCAAGCCTTCCTGAAATTTTCCAATTGTCAAAATGGGCAGTATCAGCCCACTGTAATGAGAGAAACTACTGAAAAATTGACATTCATATTGCCCTCAGTCAATGGCATGATTTGATTTAATAACTTTCAGTTGTTTTAAGATACAAGTCTTTATTATTACAATTCTAAGTGAGAAAATGCGGCTTTTTTTCTGAACAGCATTGTCCTCAATATTAGTATGAATTTTTCTCTTGCTCAGGCATGTATATTCATCATACTTAACATGTTTGACATTGAGAATGTACTGCTATGTAAAAGATCCGTCTTACGTATAGTTTCACTGGCATTTGTGAAGAATAACTTGATAATTCTTTTATTTGTTTGTTTAGACATTGAGATTATATAATCCCTTTTATAAATATAAATA